GGGGTCGTGTGTAAATGCAAATAAACTCTAAATTAAATAAATTCAAATGATGATGGTTTTTGAGGAGAGGGGAAAACCGGAGTACCAATTATTTAATAGCATTCATATTTCTTGGAAGCCAATTTTAACAGGGTTAAGCACTATTCAGTGATCCTAAGATTATCTTTTATTCGAGTGACAAACATAGAATTTTGCCGGATGACATCAACACAATATTAAGCAGACAAGTAATGACTGGAAAGAAAAATATCAATGAGGGATTACAAGTTAATTAAATACCAAATTCTCTGCACTAACAAATAAGAATTGTATGGCATACAATTGTAGGGAGAATTTCTAATGAGATCTTCGGAGTGAAAGGGATCAGACAGTGGTTTCAAAACAAGCCAGTGACCACTGGAATTCAGCCGGCTACTTGATTGTATGTTGCCGGCTACTCTGGTCATAACAGTCTGGTCGTGACAAACAATCTTGACGTTACCACAGCCGCCTACTTTTCCAAAGTTGGCCGCCTACTTCAAAACATTTTGAAACCCCTGATCAGAGATATTTAGTAGCTTACCTCATCATCTCTTTTAGCAGTGAATTCAAACCCATCACTTATGTTACTGCCACTTTGGACACGGTATGAGTAATTCATCCCAGGAATTAATCCCTGAGAAAAATGCAAAAATATCAACATTGGATATAAGCAGATAATCACAATTAACATGATTAACAAGTAAACAACAATTTCAATACTACATCCAATATGTGACTAGAATTGAAAAAATATCTAATTAGGTCTTTTGAAAATAAGTTCCATCATAATTGACTGAAATAAGGGGTGTTTGGTAAAATCATGACATTGGTCTTACTTTGGAAAATTTTTCAATTTTGAGTAAAATGCCAAACTCCAACCAGAATGAAAACTGCTAGTCTTAAACCAAGTAGGGTTGCACTAGTAGTTACATTAGATAACCATCAGTATTTTGAGACAGAAACTACATGTGAGTACATATTCAATCAAGTTTATCGTCTTAATGTGAGGCATGGTTACCCAGATTGCCCAAGCCAGAGGCTCATGTATGAAACGTAAGACAGCAACCCACCCATCCCAGGGGAGGACATCCACCACACAGTAATCTCGCGCATGAGAAATTAATGTCTCCTACCCCTAACCCTGCAGGAGATGGGGTCTACAGTTTATTCGTCCTTATCCGAGAAGACTAGAATATTTATCCATTTCTTGATATTATAGAAAGGTAGCAAATTCTCCTCAGTTATCTTAAGACCATGAGTATTGGTCTGGCCAGGGCTTGAATCCTTGACCTTCCGTACTACACAATCTGGCACTCTAACCAATTGAGCTAACTGGGGGGGCTAAAATTCAGTTGGTTCTCTTTCAGTGTGGATTCTAGGGACAGAGACTGACCTATTTCTAAGATTGTACCTCATGTTCTTTTCCTTAGGTAAAAACTGGAAAAACGGGCATTTGGGGTCATTCGATCTTTTTTTGTTGAGTGCCTTGTCCGCCTTCTCTAGCAAATCCCTGATATCTACATTCTTGGACATAAACTTCCTTTTCAAACACTGGTCCAAAAAATTCTGTATTATAGAAAGGTCAGAGTCTGAGGCACCATAAACCAGCAGGGCATAAGAAAAATTTGGTAAAACTATAGCATTAAAAAGGTGATCTACTTTCTCCTGGGGCATTCCTTCCTTACGTAAAGATCCTAATATGAATAATGACTTGTTCGCCTTTATCACCTTCGCGTGCACGTCACTACTATATTTACAATTTTGTTGGAAAGTAATACCTAATATGAATAACTCTGCACACTGCCGTATATCCCTAACTGGCGAAATGCCCTGATTGAAACCTTTCTTATGGAAAATAATCTCGTTGCATTTTGTTGGATTGCATATCATGCAAATGCGGCTGGACCAGCTAAGAAACTGATCCACCAAGTCAGTGCGACACTTGTCATTTCGCCAAAAAGGGATGATAATTGTAGAGTCATCAGCTATTTAAACAAGGCTGGGCGACCTTCTTGATTGAACTCCAAATCATTAATAAAGTGAAGTGAGTCTGATAATAAATTGATAAAGTGAAGTTAGGCAAGTGAGTCTGTAACAAATATGACCACTGTGATGATGGATATCACTGGTAAAAAGAGTGTAGACCATGCTAAACCATTGTTGACTTGTTTTTTTATGGCAATACTGATATCATATAAGAAGAAAATGATTTCAGTGTGTGACACATTGCATGACACATTGATGCAAGGAGTGTTGTCTGTACTCTTTTGATGATGGCAAATTGGCCAATCAGATTGCAAAATTGCTGCCAATTGTGGTAATAAAATACATTTTCCCCTGGATGACTGGTCTACAACCATTACTCCTCTGCTTAAAACTATTTAGCAACTGAAGGAAGTATCTGACAAGAACTCAAACCACTTAAAACTGTCTATAGGATTACCAATGTGTAGCTTGCATCAGCCCGATAAATAAAGCTGTATTTTTCACCGCATTTTAAAATCAAGAACGACATATTGTGAAGTTATGCATTGTGGCCTTCTAAATGTCTAACACATAATGAATCTGATCAGAACCACAAACTGAAAGTAGTTAAGCTGTTTTTAACGAAGTAACATATTGCCCTGCAAAAAAAATATAAATCACAAGCCGCTGACTTGATTACCAATCTTTTATCGTCATCCAAAATTCCGTGCAAGTTGTACGTTGCATAATGCACCTCACGCGATGGAAGTGTAAACTATATGTAGTTTCATAATTAGTCACCGAACCGGCGACAACTGCTCGATTTCCTGTCAGGCTAGTCTTAACAAATTAACTAACTGCTTGCAATAGACATTGGACAGAGCTAGTACAATACTTTGTGTCTAAAAATAGTTGCCATCATCGGCTATTGAAAACCGCTTAAAAACTGAAAACTTATGTATTGCGTTGCATAATTGTACGATCGATTATTAGGAAGTAATTTACCATCGTAAACACTACTGTGACCCTTACCCGAAGAACGACGCGATGAATGTATTTTAGTGCATCTGGATTTCCTTCGGTAAATAACACAAATTTTCCCCTTGCTTTAAGAGAATAATTCTTCGGCGCTAAGCCATAAAGAACGACCGAACTGGCAAACTCCGATGAATTTGAGGTCGACCACATTATAGTCATTTCATTCGGATTATCTCCGTAAGAAATGTGAATTTGTTCGGGCCCGTGAGGAGAATCATACGGTGCCAAATCAGACATGAAAAGATGTTTTCCTTCTTGATGCGATGATGCTGAATTCAGAAGGAAGCAGAGAATTAGGAAGAAATTAATTCCGTCCATTTTCTCCACAGGTCACATGAATGAACTAGCTCGTTAGTAGATCATGTGACTTGCAAGCAAACTTTACATGATAGTGGTCAAAGAAGACATGACTTGACGTCACGCATCAATGTAATTTTCACTTTTGAAAGAGGAAACTAGCAGAGGGGGACTACGTTCATACTTAATTGAAGATCGCAAAATGAGATATGAAGGTGATTGATGTCGAGGAGAATTCTATAACTCCTTATGAGACTTTTTTGGTTATATCAACTAAGTTGAAATTGTAAATTGGCCACCGTAAAGAATTAAAAATTTGGGGTTTCGAGCGTTAGCCCATCGCTCAACCAAATTACCTTGTTACCCCCACCGACACAGCGTCAAAGTTTCTTTAGAAACTTACACCCTCTTTCTGAGACTGTCAGCTTAAAAATCACGTCCCTACGTCTTGCCTTCTAGCTTATTTCGCAGGGTGTTCAGTTCCTTGAAACGTATCTTCTATTGGGAACTGAATACTGTTTCTCAATTATTGGAAAAAAAAAAAAAAAAGGTTATAAGGAGTGTAGGTGGGTCTCAGTACCAATTCCGAACACATCTCTTGTCATTATATACTCTTAGTGTTAGGAGATTGAAGGCAGCCTCTAAGTGCTCTTGTCACAAAAGGAAACTAAAGGCTCCAACATCCTACTCCAAAAAGATTCCGGTTTGGTCACTTTTCAGCAGGAATGTAAAGGAAAAAGAAGAACGGCACGGACTTCCCATGCGGCTTTTGTGGTCGCGTCGATTACTATCGCCTTCAAATTATTTCTCACTCTCACAAGCGTGTCTTGAAGGGACTTTCCCTTTTCGTAAGAGATGATCGGAGGTCACTGTTTTCAGCGAGGCTGCTGGCGTATCAGGCCCCAATGCTTCTGCAACATTTGTTTTAAATTTTCAAACTTAGTTTTTCGTCCACATGCACACGACAATAGGATAATTTGTTAATTAAGAAGCCGTGAACGGTCAAATCTAAGGAGAGGAGGCGCTCAGACAAAATAGATGGCATATAGCTCACGGTTTATTTTCCTTTTTTGTTTTAATCTAAATGACAACTACAGCGTTTGCCTGCCGGCATACCGTCGGTTTCAGCCGCGGCCTAATTCCGGATCCCGAGAAACCTACAATCCCACGAAATAGAAATATAGAACCGCCGTTAATTTATTTTTTTATCTCAAAATATTCGGAAATTCCTGAAGTACACCACATTCTTATAACCATTTGCGACCAAAACACCTCCACGACTTTTGGGAACATAACGAGGATTCCATGACGTCACCAGATTGTCGTTGAGGTATACTTTGACTTTCCCCGCAGGAGTGGCTGTTGATACGGTCACCCTGACATTGAACCATTCTGCTCCCTTGGGAGGACCAGCAGGGCAAGCACTGGTTTTGGCTCCGTCAAACTTTGGTTAGGCTTTGTAAACGTAACCTGTCTGAAAACAAGTGCTAGTACTGTGCGGCCTAAGGAAAAGAAATAGGGAAAATAAGAGGTAATTATGGCACACTTCAATCGGCGGTGGGGTAAGATGGATCTTCATTACTTAGTTCTTTACTTAAAGCTGGTAAGGAAAATTCTTAACCTCATAACTATATAACCAAAAGCTTCCGACAGCTAAATCGGATCAGTCAGTGGAGTTCAAACCTTCACAGGTGAGTTTCTTTATCCTTTCTTTATCCGCGCACGCTCGTGACACATGTTTGGTATTCAGTCATTCTGTCTATGTTTTAATCATTTCTCTGCTATTCATATTCCCCTGAAAGTGTGTTGTTGTGTATGCTCCCTTTGCGAGAGCACAACAGTGCTTGTCATAAAAGACTCATGGATTTCAATTAAGGCTGGATAATGGTGGTCTATCTCTTTGGCTGTCTGTTGGCTTCCGAACAAGCTCTCCGTTTTGGATTTGGTGAGCACTGTCGCCTGTTACATCATTGGAGCCGCTTATCGCAAAAGTTATAAAAACCTCTGGTAAGTTTGATTCTCAGCATGAAATTGTAACCTGCAGTTTATATTCTCTTGAGACGCTCCAAGTCTCTGAGGAGAAAGCATGGGGCATTAAGCCCTTCTTCTTCTCTCGATAATCTCCTGTTTGCCCTGCCTGGAGCAAGCATTCTTTAGCTAAATTCTCACCCAAAGGAATCACTAAGAGTGCTTCCCTTCATATTTTTTCCTTTCTCCCACAAATTACATTTCAGTTTTAGGCAGTTTTGGGGCTGGAATAGTATGTTGGTCTCGTCAAGAAGTTTTTCAGAGAAATGATGGGCAACCACTTCCCATATAGAGGATTAGGTAGGTAGGGTCCCCAATCCTTTGAGAATTAAACTATATATGTGTCAGTTTAAACGATTCTCTGAGACAAAAATAACTATTCCAAACCTGAAGTACACGAAGTCATAGTTGTCCCCATCTTCAGAGTTGAAAAATACACCTAAGTGGCCAAAGTTTGCTCTATCTAGCCCCAAAAAATTGTACATGTCCACGCTGATCTGGTAGTCCCCAGTCCCGCATCCGTTTAAGTACGATACTTGACAAAAGCCATCCTTCGGCCAGCTTCCGTGATCTGCATCGAGTTTGACATACCCCGGAAATTCAACTGTGCGCACACATCTTTTAGAGACATACAGCTGAGGGTCGATTTGGAAGTTTTTGAAAAGAACCACGTTTTGATATCCATGGAAGGTAAAAACTCCTGCACGAGCCTGCAAGGTATGATGGGTCTTGATAGTCGTCACCAGGTCGCCATTGAAATAAATCTGTGCATCTTGATCATGAACCTTAACTGTCATTAAGAACCAGACCCCACCTTTGGGTGGACCTTTAGGACACGCTTTACTCTCGATGAAGCTGAGTTTTCCGCTCGTCATGAATCCGGTCTGATAACAGATGCCAACACTATGAGGTCTGTGTGCATAAAGAAAATCCAGACATTTAGAAATTAAGTAATGGCCTCCGCTCTCAGCGCTTTTTTAGCAGTGACCCTGTTGACATTCATAGTTGTACGGATAAATTTTGACCCCGTTTCATTTCGGAAATTGCATATCGAATACAGAGTTGAAATAGATGGCCAACTTGAGATCAGTAACGGAAATGAATAGCGACCTTTTAAGCTTCCTTCCGTTCGCCAAGTAAGGCCGTACTCATGCAAAAACTGTTCGATCGCGTGATCATAGAGATTTCAGCCCGGCAAAAATTAAAGCAAAGTCTCGGCAATACTAAATTATGTTTTATGATAGAAAGGGTTGAGTTGTGGAATCCTGGAAACTGAGCCATACCGGACTCCAGGGTTCATAAGAAGCCAATATTCTCGAAATGGTTCCCCAAGAGTATCCATCATATGACTCGCGTTCAGTGAGAACGCGAGTAACACACGCGCGAAGGATAATACACTCTGACCTTTCACGCATTGACACCTGAGTAAGCAAGAAGAGAAAACTTACCTAAAGTAGACAAAATCAAAGTTGTTCTCATCTTTAGCGTTGAACAGCAAACCAAGATGGCCGGTGTTTATCCCCAGCCACCCTGCTTGGTTAAGTAACTCTGCTGATACAGTATACGCCTGCGATTCAACAATGGGTTGAGCGAGAACACGACACATTGAATTTTTGTCAGCATCCATTGCGTCCAATTTGTATTGATTACTTGAAGATGATTTCGTCATTCTTGTGCAGTGTTCCACCATAGATAGGTAAAACTTGTCTCGGTCTAAGATGGAACAGTTGTTATATAACCATTTGCTTACAAATGTTTAAGTCAGACCAAAATTCATGATTTGAACCTTGACATACAACTAGGCGTGTCCCTGTGCCCCATTCTCATATTAGTTCCAAACCCTTTCCCTTTATGATAATATAATAAAGTATTTAACAATTATTCCACAAGCGCGCGTTGGATATGAGATGATAGATAGCCAACGAGGCGCGTAGCGCCGAGTTGGCTATAATCATCTCATATCCAACAAGCGC